TTTTTTTTTCGAAATTAGGTGAAACGACGGTCAAAAAAAAGATAGCAGTTGCTTTGAAAGATCAGGATGGCAGGCAATTATTCGAGCCGATTTCGATGAAAAGATAAAAAAAGAGAAAAGAGCTGGTGCAAGGACACCATACGAAGCGTCGCGCAAACGCGGCGTACGTTACAAAGTACATATGGGTTACAAAGGTACATGTGTCCCGAGGCCCGAGTGGGGTCGTCGCTACTCTCAAGCGAATTTCTCCACCGGTCGATGGCTTACGCTTGCGCGCTGACGCCTTTTCAGGAACAGCCTTTGGCTCCTCGGAGCTCTCCGCGTACCGAATTATACGCCCGCGAGAACAACCCTGACACTCTTCCATTAGCCGCGCTTCAGAGCCAGAAGAGGATTAACGTTCAATAACCCGGAGATAATACCGATCACCCCGCGGATACACTATATTTCTCGAGACGTCGCGTCGTCTTCCTTTGTTTGCCTCGAACTTGGCGTCGAGGGACTTACGACGCGAACCTGTTTGCGAAAATTTTCTCGTCATTAAAGGGATTAATTTGACTTATAGATGCGCAAATGTTGGAAATAATATCGACAATCGAGGAGAAAAGATAGCGATTTTTTATTTTCATTTTTATTTTTTGTTTCATTATTTTTTAATTACATCTTTTATAAATATTATATCCAATATGTTAAGCAAATAATATTACAACACAAAATTATTACAACGAATTATAATCAAATAAAAGATGCTAGTTTCTTTATTGACACATTAATACTTGTTTTCTGACATTATCGTAAAAGTATCAGAAGCAACTACACGAGCAGACGCAAATGGCATTTTGTTCTCAAACTCCTGTCGAGGGCATATTTGTTGATTGATTATATCTTTTCCATCTGGATTAAAATTTCTATTTGATGCGGCTAAAGTACCCATGTTCATCGATTTCGTAATTGCCTTTGTACGTATTGTCGGCAGGTTTATCGCTATGCATGTATTCGGCTATAATATATAATGATTAAAATTATGTGAAAATATAAGAGGGGAAGGTAATAATAAATAATAAATTATGATTCGTAAAATAGTGTAAAATGAAATGTTAACTCGAAAAATATGTACGTGATTATTGTATGATAGATCTAATTATAACGTACTGTTTCTAATCCACTGGCGCTTGATCGAGATGTTAAACTCGCTAGTGACTTGGAAGCTGAACTCCTCAAAAGTTGGTGATCCTCGATGTCGGCGTAACTTTGACACGACGGCCTCGTTCGTCTCGGAGTAACAGGTAGAACTCTCCTTCTTTGTTTCGGTAGCTTGCCACGTGCCTGAAAATTTGCATTTAATTTCTTTCACGATATTTCTATATAAAATTTTGAAATCAAACTCCATTAAATGGCAAAATCCATTATGTATGAGATTTATGATGTAAAAATATTGGTAAATGAAGCTTGTTACAGCGCGAGCACCTGCGTATGCGAGTAGAACATGGAAAAATTACTGACGATGACCGGAACCGGAAGAGCAATAGTGAGGACACCCGCGAGGGTGCACAATCCACCAATGAACATCCCGGGGAAAGTTTTCGGTGTCATATCGCCGTAGCCTACGGTGGTCATGGTGACCAAGGCCCACCATAAGCCTCGTGGTATGCTGTCAAAATCGTTGTTGGGATTTTCCTGAAAAGCGTTAGAATTTGAGATGAAAAATCGCGGCAGTATTGAAATACTGCAAATTTTTTCTTTTTTTTTTTAATTATTAAACTAGATGTCTCTCTTTCTCCCCCTCTGATTTTTCGAGATCTGATCTCAGAACATCAATTAGTTTGATGTTGAATCACAGATTTCTTCAACTCCATTTTATATTTCTATAGCCAATGCTATTGGGTTACTATGCTATTGGTATACTATATCGGGTTCCGCAATGTTTTTTTAAACCGAGAATTGCGCTTTCAGGAGATTCTATCGTAAATGTATTCTACCGGGTTTTACCAGAGAACCGTGCTCAAAACTCTGCTTTTATAAAACATTTACTTTTCCATCCCTCGTTAAACTAGGAACTACGATGTACCTGCAGGCGTTCGGCATAGAATATGAGACTGGCGAAGAGCACGATTCCCAACACAAGGAAGAAGACTAGTAAAGCCAGCTCTTTGGCGGACGCTTTAAAGGTATGGATGAGTATTCTAAGTCCGGGCGAGTGTCTCGTCAACTTGAATAGCCGTAGAACGCGTGCTATCGACAAGAGTTCCAGGTAAAGGTTCGGTTCTGCCAGGAACTCGGTGTAGAAGCTCATCGTCGCCACTAGATCGATCGCATTGACCGGCGACACGGCGAAACGCCTCAGGCTAGGGCTTACCTGCAATTAAGTTAGAGTAGCATCATCCTAATGTGTCCGCTACGTTACATATCATGGTGGACGGAGATAATTTCGGTTTATCGATTAGGAATAGTTGGCATTACATCGACAACGAGGCGGAACATTGTATACGATTCGGCTGTTTCGCGCGAGATGAAACTATAACGTTTAGCAAAATGTATCTACACTAAAGATAACATTTTTTTTGATCTAATAAATACATTTTGTTAATTTTGATTTTTTTACTTAAATAAATATATACTTTATTTTCAAAAATGTGTGGTTATATTAAATAAATTATTAGTGTTGTATATAATAAAAATTATAATTTTCAAGATACATTATTTGAAATTTTAATATAAAAATATATATTTGAAGATAAAAAATTATTTATTAAAATAAAGAAAACCCATGTTTTTGAAACAAGCAGCCAAAAATTAAAAAATATTTTTTTAAAGAAACTAATCTAATAAAGATAAAAAACAAATTCTATTTTTTATAAAAGCATACTTTGCTTTTATTTTATATTTTACTAATTCAAATATATTTGCTGCTTGATTGAAATAACTAATTCCTTTGCAAGTATTCAAATAAATATTTTTTCTAAATAAAAAAAGATTTTTTAATTTAATATATTTTTTTCAGTGTAGTATCAGTGGCGATTTTGAAGAAAATATGGTAAGATCGTACAAGGCAGCGGAGCGCTATTTCTACGGTGAACCAAGCGTTGCAAGCGTGTTCTAGATAAAAAAATGCTTGATGGAGACCAGCGATATCGGCGATATCGTTCCAACGATCCTCCAGTAATTCTTCACGATGCTTGTTTTTCGGCACGTGGCTCTTCAAGCAGAAACATAGAACTGACAGGCAGATGAAGAATACGGAGGCGCAGGCTACGCACTTGGCTGTCGACGACGAGTATGGTTCGTCGAAAAGAATCCAAACGCGAGATCGTAATCTCTGCCACTTGGTTAAGGTGCCCTCGTGGTACTTCTCCTCAAAGCCGAAAGCTCGCGCGATTTCCTCGTCGTCGAGCTTCTCGCTCTCGATGTCGAGCTTATCGAGAATTGCCAGAGTGGTTTGCGTGTCTCGGTGAATGCTATACGTGCTCCAGCAGCATGGTTCTACCTACAGAAAGTCAACTTAATTAAGGAACTATTAAATTACTTTGCGAGAGCGATATAATCGATTTATGCGAATCAGTTATGCCAAGTCGTGGGTCACATGAAGCATGAACTTAAAAACGCGATTAAAAGTAGGATGTAAAAAAAGGTATTTTGTTTAAAGAATTTCTTTAATTTAGATTTGGTAACAAATTTCTTCAAGTTGGATTTAATAGCAAATGTATCTGGTATCTAGGAAACAATGGCGTTTTCTTACCATCTTGCTGAATTTTACGAATCCTTTAAATTTATACATTTATGCAAAAGAGAGACATACAGATTTTATTTAAAAGTTTTATTTAAAAAATGTTAACAATACATTCTTTATTATTTTACCTTGGCTTTTCTTTGTTCAACTCCTTTGAGAAACTTATGCTAATTGCTCTTGTTATTTTAACAAAAAACGGAGAAAAAATAAAATTTACATTGAAATATAAATTCATTCGTTGCTTGCATTACAGATTGCAAATGATTGAAGAAGTTTTAAGAATGTTTTGGCTGTACAATAGTAGGAAAAAGCTGAAAAAATAATATAATTTTTAACGTTTTTATAAAAGAAAATTGTTGCAATTAATATTTTTGCAAATTTACGACAAAAACTTTTGTGAATATTCCCTGAAATCAATTGCAAGAAACAAAAGAGAGAATAATTTACAGGAAGATTTCGGGAATTATGCTCAGGTTTTGCACGGATACTCACAATCAGAAAAAAACAGTAGAACAGTCTACGAAATTTTTATGCTTTTATCGATGAAATATTTTAAATTAAATTTTGCATATATTTTATAATATAATTGCTTTGTATTCTATTTTATCCTTTTGAATGAATGTATATAATTTATGATCGCTAATTAACGAATAACATCATGCATAGAACTGGATAAGAACGATATCAACCTGATTCGAGTCAAGACCCCAAAATTCCAATTCCTCCTCGAAGAGCGGACCACACACATCCGTGGGATAATGCAGCTTTCCCGTGCGATAATAATTGAGAACCTGTGCGAAAACATCCGGATGTCTGTCGTAAAAGTATTCATTCAGTACCGGGTCGTAATTCACTAAGGCTTCCGTCAATCGCGATAATCTGGTCGCCGGGATTTTCTTCAGTGTCGCTTTATACGTCTCGTGTCGAATACCACCCACATTCAATGTCACCCGATCGTTCCATTTACCGTCCTTCATTCTTCTCGCCCCCTTTTTTCCTCGTAGAACACAAGCGAGTAGAGAAGGGAAGGGAATATATTCGTTACATAAGAAAAATTTCAAACAACAGTTAAGAGATATCGTCCGAGCATATCGTGAAACATTAATCTTGTCTCTACACTTTGTTAATGAATAGATAGATAATTAATAGTAAACACTATTTGACGAATTTTGCTTTTACTTTATCCGTAAATATTTTTGCAAAAGCAATTTTTATGAAAAAAGAGAGAAAATATCTCACACAGTCGCGCACTCTGCATCAGCCGAGTTCGCTTGATGACTATTCGACAGAGCGTGAAATCGTAAGGTTTCGGTAAAAAGGAATAACCTGTGCCGCACGTACGTGGCTTTCCCGTTCTATAAATTCGCTCGTGTTTATTTGTGTGGCACGCCGCACATATTCGAATGGCCATTTGTTCGGTTAGAATGCAAAGTCACGCGATGGACGGGCGGTTTATTGTTTCCTTGAAATTCCGTTAAAAAAACGAAAAAAAACCAATGATCTCCCCTATTTCTTTCCGCGATTAAGACGTGTAATAATTCGTATATAATTAATAATAATTTTGATAATAAAATTGTATTAATAAAAATTTTTATAATAAATTTGTATATTAATTTTTAAGCGTGCGATGTGTCCACTGGACAGAACTTTTGGAGCTATTGATATATTTTTTCGCGATGAACGTCAATTATATAGGTGTCTCCGAATATTAAGTCTGTTTAAAATATGGATGCGTGTAGAACTATGTTTATTTTACTAATACATAATTCACATAAGAAAACGAGACACCAAATATTTCAGGAATATTTTAATGTTTTACGAATTTTTCCAGATGATACTGAATTTTAGCTCATATGACTCGCGAGAGAATATAATATCGTAACATTATTTATGTTCCTGAAACATTTCTGACGGTATTGCAAGCAATGATGTCATCGACCAGATGACTGGTCGATTAGATGGTTCAAAAATGATATACATACACATTCTCTTCTTATTGAAAAAGATCCGTAATCTATCTTTTTGGAACTGATAATTGCATAATATGATCATCTGAAATCAATCTCTTCTTTCTCTTGATATTCATGATCATCAAAAGTTTTATTAATATATTTATATCTCGTAATAACAATAGCTCAAAAAAATATTTTTTTTTCTTTCATTTTTGCATGTAATTGCACAATTATAAACTACGTCAAGAATTTATGATTATATTTTTTTGCTAATATTTTTATGCAATTGACGAATCATTCTTCTAATTTTATACTTATCTAGACAAAATACAGTTTGTGAGTAACAAATATTTGTGCACAATTTAAATTATAATATTTGACTTTTGCAAACTAACTTTTATTTTAATAAGTAATATATAATCATGAAATTAAAAAATTTACTAATATCCCGTCATAATAGGAATTTGTCGATATTTATGAGATCTGCATCGACTTTATATTCAGAGAGAGATTGTACATTTGTCATTCATGCGACCTCTCTGCATCAGCTAAAGAACTACGTATATAGGATACTTCGAAAACATTTACGTAATCAAATGGATATAAATGTATGATAAAATATAAAAATGGATTATATATAATATACATAACAATTAATAATATATAAAAAATTTTAATAAAATTTAATAAACTTTCGAGTCATAAAACTAATATCGAAAACACAGTGCCATTAAATTATATATAAACTTTACGTAAGATTTGTTAATTGAATGAGTAAATATTAAAAATAATATAATGTCCAGATATATATATGTGTGTCGTAGAGAAATAAAAAAAAAATACACTTAAAAAAAAATTTTAAAAGTATTATTTTAATCAAAGAAAAGATAACGAGACTAAAATTCGACAATCTGATTAAAATGATCTGTGTCGAACGAAAATACTTTAGCTTCGCGCGCATCGCTTGAACTTTACAGAGTAGTTCGGTTCCCGCAACAAAGAGGGTGATGGCGAAACGTCACGCAGGAGCTCCATCTGGTCTCGATGTGGCCGGACACACACACACACACTCTCTCTCTCTCTCTCTCTCTCTCTCTCTCTCTCTCTCTTTCTCTCTTGTATTCTCTCTCTCTCTCTCTTTTCTCCCTCTCTGTCTCTCTTCATGTTCTCGTAGACGTACTTCCGCGCGCATGTACATTTTGCACGAAGCGTCGTGGGCGTCGCAGCTTAAAGGACGGCGCCCGTCTATGACGTCATATTTGTTTCATTTTCCGACGTGCCAACATGCGTCCGGCTTGTCTTTTCAATATTGCAACTGTGTCATCTCGTTTATCTTGTTTCCTCTACCCTTACCGCATGCCGCCAGTCCCTGCCCTTCTCCCCCCGGCGGTCCTTTCTCTCTTATTCTCTCGCGCGCTGCGACGTGCCAGTTATACTAGTATGTTTAACATGTTTTTTTATCTTCCCTCTCAGCTAATGCCATTGTCCCGTATACGCGCACGTGCTCTCGCAGCGGAATAATTCTCGCGTTCATTTCCTGATTTATCTTTGATCCCGCGACAATCTTATTACAGACTGATCCAGCTGTATGTATTTATTGCCATGACATTTTAACGAATTGGAAGGTTTTTTTAAGCGATTACAGATGTCTCAGATGAGATTAGGGGAGTTAAATGCAGAATAGCGTAAGATAAATATGGGAGGGGAAGAGCGAGAATAAATAAGATTTCCCTTCCCTCTCAAAGCGATATATCGTTTAACCGGAGAGAATCAAAATCTTCCCCTGGAATTTTTCAGTAGAAATAACCGCGATCGTGTCGCCAATTAATCCGGTTCAGAGTTCACCGCGCGATTCGAAAATAATGGAGGGAGAAAGCATTCACGACGCGTGTTCTCACCCTATATCGGATATTATAAAACGCGGATAAATATCACGGTATTAATACGCCGGACAGGGAGAAGAAGATTCGCCGCGCTTATAAAGCGAGAACCCTACACGCGCTCGGGAACGGTTACAAATACTCCCACTGCTCTCTATCTCGTCATCATCATCATCATCATCATCATCATCATCATCATCGTCATCCCTCTTGTCCTTCCCGCGCAACATCCGCCACACGATTTCCGCTCCCTCTCATCCCTCCCCAACCCCTCATCTCAATTTCTCCCACGCTTCCACTCCCTTCATTCATCCCCCTCTATCCCGCCGACGCTTCCTCCACACCCTGTCTCTCCCGTATCCACCCACCCCTGTTCCCGTTATATCCGTCTCGCTTACACGCACCCTCCCTCGATCGCTTCTCTCCGACTACTCGTGGAGAGAAGGGCTCGTCATCCCTCGCGAGGACCACCGAGACGCGTCGCTCCGGTCGCTTTCGCGTCTGCCAACGTCGCGTCGCGGTAGACGGTCGTCGTCATCGCCGTCGTCGCATCAATCGCCAGGAGTCCGCGAGGACGAGAGATTATCACGAACGGATCCGTGTCTCGCGTCGCGAGTGCCGCGCGAGAAGGACACCATCGGGTGGCAACGACACCATGAATGTCCCGCGGGACTTGCCGACGAGATAGTCTACGAGGTTGGCTGGCTGGCTGGCTGGCTGGCTCGCGGTTCACCCTCTCTCGGTCTTCATCCCCGAGAGCCGGGAGACATTTCTCTCGCTCGAGAGGGATAAAGCGGGATAGATCGATAGGCCAGCTGGTGCGCGTGTGTTCGCAGCATTTTCGCGGTAGGCCGGTAGGTCGGTGGTGGTGCGCGGGGTGCGGCCCAGGATGGTGAGGGCACCGAGCGTGGGACCTGCCGGCGGCCCGGCGGATATCAGGCGGATCCATCCCGGTCCCGAGATCGCCATGAATCCGAGAAATCTGCCCACGGCGTCCGCGAGTATGCCGCCCGCTATGCGAGGGGATGCCAACGCCGTCGACAGAACGATGCCCGTTTATCATCCCCAGGTACAGATCGAGAGCCCCAATTCTTTTATGATAGACGTGTTTACGTTGGAAGAAAGAGAGAGAGGGACATCCCTAACATACATATGTCTGATTGCTGGAGTCGGTTGAGTTATGTAGTTGGCTTTTGAGACGCTTTTTTCTCGCAGTTTTTTTTAATACAAAGACGAAATGTATAATAAATGGAAAATGAATGGACTGATTAACGTGGATTAATCGATTAATATTTTACAGAGATATTGCGTCTCGCGATTTTATTTGTACTTAATTCGTGTGATTTATGAGATTATCATTTTGCAAAGATGATTGGAATTTTATTCCTCATAATATATGTAACAATTCTGTAATACAACTTGATTATGCCGATTTAAAAGCGTAGCGTTATATTGTAGCAAATAATACTTTAATACTGTTATTACACATATCTCATTAAATGAAGTAATGTAAAGACATCACTTTACACACACATTTGCTTCTTCGTATATTACAATTACGTTCATATTTTAAAAAGTTATAGCTATTAAAGTTTATTAACTACATTTCTGCGCGTGCCGCTATCGGATCTTATTACCGATAATTAAATTTCATTTAATCACGTTGTTAAAGCATATCTCATTAATGCGGATAATTTTATTTATTCTAACATCTATCTATAGACTTTTATAGTCTGATTTTTAAGAGAAAAAACTTTTAAAGAAAATATCTTTATTTATACATGTAGTCTTGTTTTTCTCTCTTCTGTTATTCATTCCTGTGTATATCTTTAACGTTCTTACATATTTATTCACGTGTATGCGTGTACAAACCAAAATTCTTCTCGCGCAACGATTTTAATTAAAGAAATATGTTAATATATCTTAAACATCGAGATGACGACGATCCCTTTTCGGTCAAGAAGGTAATATTATTCCGATTATCCTCTCATCCTTTGAGAACGAGGACGTTGCTCGCGCTTGAAAATCCGTTTCCTACGATCGAATGTAGGTCAGTCTCCTAGAGAGAAATGCTATTCTCTCTCTCTCTCTCGGAGAGTACTGAATTCATTTTCCTTGTCCGTATCCCTCCTCGTTGTCGATCTTGTCCGCTCAACAACGGGTGAACAATCTAAACGAATCTCATTACCGGAAACTGATAATACGATAACCATTAGGCGACTACAATGGTAACTTCATGGCGCGGGGTGGAAGATAGCGGAACTCCATGTTTAGCAAGGAATAATGCAAGAACGGTAATGAAGTCCGGGAAATTACAGAAGTTTAATGCAGCGTCTATTACGATTTCCGATAACGACGGCTCGACACAATGAGTCCCGTATAGCGATGAAACTTCGATGAATCAAGCAGTTTATTGTACTCGATCAAAGAGCTATACGGTTTTTAAATATCCCGCGGAAAACAATAACTCCTCCTTACGGCGGAGTTTTGTTTCTTTTTTTTTTTTTTTTTTTGTAAAAGGGTGAAGTTATTATATTTTATTACCCATAAGTCTCGAGTGATATTTTGAAAGAAACGCTTCGAATTTTTCGTGCTACATTTTTCTAGACAGTTTGCTGCAAATTTGATATCGATATCGTGATGAGAAATATATATATATACATATATATATATATATAGCTGAGATTTTTCCAATATTAAAATAATATTAATGATTAATAGTTTGCATACAACCTAAACCTTTTTTAATTTTAGCATTTTTTCAATGAATGAAAAGAAGTAAAAATACAAGTTTTATTATATAATTCTAATTAATTTAGAAATATTTTATATGTATGGAGTAAAACAGCGATCACGTAATAACTTTATTCTATTTAGAAATTTTCTCAACGGCTAGTTTTTAATAATTCTCTTTTTTCCAATTTTGTAATCTCGAATACACATATGTTAACTTTTCATCGCGGTACTTGAGTTCGCTGCTCGAGATTCTTCTGCTACTTTCGATCTCAATTTTCAATTTAATATTTATATTAATGTTTTAAGTAAACCGATCATTTTTTTTTTTTTTTTTTGAAACTATTTAATCTTTAATTTTATCGAAAGCTCCTCTTTTAAACTTCTTCTTGGAAATTGTCTGTTTATTGCCTATTTGAGGTATATGAAGTGGGAGCTCAATTCCTATATAAATTGAACTATGGAAATCTTTGAGAAGATTCTATAAACGTGGGAAAATTGAGACTGATAATAAAAGCAAAATTTTAATTCGCGAAAACGGTACAATTTTTTTTTCTCTGATTTTTTCTTTTTTTTCTTTTCAATTTTTTTTTTCAAACGTGAGATTATTCGATTTCTGGAGAATACAATCGTCATCATTCATTGACAAATTATAAGCAAATAGTCTTGCGCGATACTCCGTTACAAGATTATCCATTTCTCATATCTCATGAATCATTTCGCAATCAACGTGTCAGTCCCGATGGGACGGAATCTAGTTCCCGCGCCGTTTCCGGGAATATAAATTTACGTAATCATGTAATCTCATCGGGATTGCGACAGGTGGACGTCTCCACGCAAGTGGATCTTCACGGTGGCTACGGCGCTCCGGTCAACCTGGACTCGTGGGACCGTCGCGCGACGCCGTTGTACTCGCGCGAGGACATCAGGGAGCAATATTGCATCAACAGCCGGCAGCTGGATGCCGTCGAGAAGTCCGGCGGCGGTTTCTTCGGATGTCTGTCGACGAGAGGCCCGTCGCCATGTAGCTCCACCAGGAATTCCATCCTTTCGGCGTGCGTGCGTAGCGTGCCCAGCGACGAGAACCTCTGCGACGCGCCCTATCCCCGTAAACCCTTTGAGATCATGTACCGCCAGCCTTATCCCCGCGGCATGTCACGCTACGATCTCGAGGACGAGGCGGATTGGATTCAGAGTTCCTACTTCAGGCGAAGGCCGAGATCGTTCTGCACCGTGCCCGATCCAAAGAGGTACATCGAACAGTAAATATATATATAATAAATCCAAAAATATTTTTTCATACAAAATTATAATTTTTATTATATTCAAATAATAATTTATCTAATATAACAAAACATTTTTGAAAACATAGTATATATTTATTTAAGCCAAAAAATCAAGATTAATAGAATGTATTTATTTGATTGAAAAAAAATTTTATTTTTAGTGTAAATATAGGATCGATCTCGACTCGAAAGTAGTCAACGAGTCGCGAAATTTAAGCTTTTAAGAATCGAAAAGCTAGCTGTCGATTTTACAGATATATATTGCGCAGTATCTGTATCTATATACAATTCTCCGATGTACAATTATTTTTCTCACGTGTACGTGAATCGACAATTACGTTTTCAATATTTTTGTAAGACATGATTTGACTGTTTTGTTAAAAATGGCAATCAACTACTGATGAGCATAGTATACTTACACATGCATCGACACGTGCAAAGAGCAATATATGGCTCCTTGATTATGTGGAGGAGCCGAGTTCCTCGGATATTTGGGGCAAATTACTCCGGCGGGACGCGTTTAGAATGTATGTATTTAGTGATCGATTTATTGGTAAGGACTTTGGTAACGTAATTGATGGAAAGGCGTGTCGCGATCGTAACGGCGAGCGTGCAAACGGAAAGGCAATGAAATTGGAATTTAAGAGCGAAGACTTTCATACACGATCACATCGTTCTTCCGTTTTCTAATTAAATAAAAAATTTGGAAATATATAAAAGCAGTTAAAGAACTGCGTCGTGCGTTTGACTTTCCGTTAAAAAGAACCATGAATTTTTTGACAAGAAATCTGTAGCAATTTTTATATATAGGCCATAACAATTTCGGAAATCTACCTTTGCACTTACATTAAGAGAGAGAGAGAGAGAGAGAGAGCGCATCCTATGGTTTTAGATAGACCTTATATAAAAACGATATTTATATAGCGCACGATGTTCCATCGACTGTTACGTGTGAAAGCCTTCCGTGGTCTCCCCAGTGTATAGCATGCGCATCTAAGGGGTAGGGTTTATTTCTGATTAGCATGAGTGCCGCAACGCCCCTTTATCAGCTTTTTAAGGTCAACGGAAAGCGGTCAATTAAAAAATTATGGTTGCGCGCAAAATCGCCGTGTGTGCGGGCAGTATATATAGAAGAAAATCTAGAGGCAATAAAATACATTTTAGTATGACGGTATAAATATAGCGCTTTTGCGTGCGCCAGCGATGTTATTTTAAATTTATCATCTTCTTTATTAGTTTATTCGTTCATTTCCCACGATTGTTTTGCGATAAAAATTAATTTTGCGGATTACACAATAGCATCTAAAATGTTCTGACAATTAATACATGTACGATATACATGTATGCGCGTTTGAGGGTCGTCTATTTCTCGATGGAATGACATAATGTCATTCTGTTTCCTGCGATAGTATCTGTAACACGTGTAATCGAGTTATATTTGCAACAGTGTCTATGTATATGACCATTATCTTTTGACAATGTACCTTCTATTTAATCCACTTTATTTTTATATTATTAACTATAGAATATAATTAATAAATTAAATTTAATTGATTAAAATAATCCTGAATAATACAGTTATACATGAATTACATAAAGTGGATAATTTTAATAAAGGTAGTTAATATCTTTTTTAACGGTTTAAATTAATAATACACAAATTTTTTTTTATATCCAGTTACACTTTCAGAAATAATTGTCTCCAATTTTAATAATATTAATTGATACATCAAATCAATCATAAGACAATGTTTAATGATATAATATAATTTAACAAAATATGTGATTCTCTCTTGCAAAGATACACTTGGGTGCCGGAAGATGAAGAATCCATGAGGTTAGAAGGTCCGCGGCCGGTATTACCACCGATAATACCCTCTCCCCCCGCTTCCATGATGACAATGCAAGGACCGCAAGCTCCGAAGACGAAGCACGTGAGCTTCGCGAGATCGTACACGCTCACGTCGTTCGAAGTCCCGAGAAACAGAAGCCCACCGAGGCCACATAATCCGGAACGTCTTATAGACTCGCAGCCGACAATGCAGAATACTATACTGCCTTCGTCCTTGCCCTTAGCGCATCCTTATCCTGGCATTGAGCCACGTGTCCTCGTACTTGGTAAGTCTTGTATGCCATTTCTTGCAATATCGTATCGTGTAATACGATCGCAAAGTTTCTCGCTGCACACGTGCATAAATTCTCTACATGTATACGTAAACATACAAAATATAAATACAACAATTTAAAACGCTTGGATTAATTTTATTGGAATTTAATGCGAGATATTTCGTGTCGCGCGCGCACTGACCCTGTACGAGAGCTGTTTTGATCCCAAGCCAAGTATCACAGATTAAGCCGGGTGAGTAGTTGGGGCTATTTATCCGTGGCCGCGGCAAAATTCGTTATAAGCTAGATTAACACTCGGAAACTATAATCCGGGAGAAAAGACATGAAATGAAATATAAATACATCGAAAGATGACGTGACGATGAAATAAATTTGTATAAAATTATACACCGATTTGTTGAGAAATAGAATGCTCAACTATCGCTGAATTCTATATTTTAACAATCCTTTTCTCTACTCCTTTAACAAACTTGAAGAGTTAATTTTACATCGCGAAATTAGTTTGAAGAAGACATTTATACAGAATCTTTGTATTCTTGTAAATCGATATTTAAAAAAAATAGTACATTTTTTTCGGAAACATTAATTCATAAGATAGTTTAGTCGATTTGTAGCGATCTTCTTCGCAGTTGGAAAATTTGTGTTAAATTTAACATATATCGCATATTCCAAACGGTCCACACAATTTTTTGTGTTAATTTAACATAATATGGATATTTTAAATGGTGGACACCAATACTATGTTAATATTTTAACATAAAATGGATGCAAAATTTATTGTATTTGGAAATAAATTTTGTATAAAATCAATATATTTTTAACGACAAAATTAATTTAGAAAAAAAGTTATTGACGGTCCTATAATCACTCTCACTCCTATTATAGAATAAAATCAACATGTTTTTCTGTAAATTTTAACAGATGAATCCTGTCACTAATAATACCAAACATATCTATTGTATAAAATTAAAAATATATGTGCATTGTGTTATTTCCACACTTTTTTTTTCAGTTGTTTTAATAATTTACCCAGACAGCACAAAACGTCCTCAGGATCATCCTGAATATGTCCAGGATGGTTCAGGATATTTGTAGGATGTTTTAAGATATTATTATAAATATATTTTATGAAAATTTAATATGCATACATGATTACTTTCGGTTATGTAGGCTATTTAATATAATTTAGAAATTTTAAGTATTGTAATAAGTATTAATGTCCTATAAATGTCCATTGGATAACCCCTGGATGTCTGTAGGATACCTGCCCTGTCTATTATATTGAATGTCCTTTGGATTTCCAGAGGACATATACATGTGCAATTAACTGTTAACATTAATTTCGTTTAATATTAATAATTGAATTTGATGCGCACATTTTCACATATTCAAAATTATTATTTATTTAATAATTTATGAGAAATGTTACTATGCGCAACATTCCAAAAACTTTACAAAAAATAGTATTCAACCGCTAGTTAGTTTGTTTACCGCTATGCGAAGCGCAAACTCGTATTTGAGATTTGGTCATGAGAATTATATAAAGCTTGCAAAGAGCAACTAACAGGAAATTAAAAATATAATTATTTTTTATCAGTTCAATTTCTGATGCAATCCAAACATAAGGAAGTCAGATATTGGATTGTTTTGAAAATATTACACGACTCAAACCCGGAAGCCAAACCTAAAATATTCATGTACAGCACGAAAACCTCAAATATTAAAGAACGTGAACTATTTTTAGTATTAGATTTTTAGTATTGGCAGTAAATAACAGAACGCAATCTTAATTTATATTTAAATTTTAGAATTTGTTCCTTTTAACGTATGAAAAATATCCCTAACATATCCTATAGAAATCCTTAAGATGTTCCACAGGATCTCCCTGGATTCTCCAGAGGCTAGTGTACGGCTATCATTTACTCTTCCTCAGGACATCCAGAGGAGATCCGAGGATTAAAATAGGATATCCTCAGGATATCCTACATGTATGTCCTGGATGCCCTTTGGACGTCCTAAGGACATCCTTGTGCTGTCTGGGTAACATTCGATTAACACACAAAAATCTTAACCGGCATATTTTTTAACAAGAAAATACAAATTTCCCAATGTGTTGTTCCAGAGAAACCACCTAAACGCGGCGCTATGAAGACCCAGGCGACGCAAACCGAGATCCCGGCGATGTTTCGCGGTCGCGTGCTCCCGGTGACCCTGAGCCCCAGAACTATCCATCGTGTCAAGATGGTTTCGCAGGGTGCTCAGACAAACGGTATTTTCAACGGGAGAAAATTGACCAAGAGCTACTCGGAAGCCGGACAATTGGGGACGCCGCTCGGCGGCAGCCAGGTAGGCGCGCTGACGAAAGAGGAAACCGAGCACGAACCGCTCCACAGGACACAAAGCGAGGAACCACCGAGGTCGCCCTTTCTCGTTTCGACGACGCCACCGCCGCTGCCCTCCAACGCTACTGTCGTTATTGAAGAATCCTTGCCAAATGGAGATATTGTTCCCATCGGGATTGTGAGTATTCCGACACTTTTTTCACATTTTACGGCAACAAAGTGGATTGTCATCTTACGCGTTTTCGCCGTCGAAAGCATTTCGCTTAGATAACTTTCTAAATCATCTAGAGGAAAATGAGATAAAATATATGTAAATGTTTTTTGGATAAGATAGAGATAGTCTTCTTTTTCATTTATTTAGGTAAATTTATAAACTGTTTTATTGTGATAATTTTAAAATAGAGTTAAAAAAAAAAAGAAGAATTAGGATGGTAAAATAATATATTCAAGTTTTTAGTTCTTAAAAATAAAAAGTTTTTTAAATATATTATTAGACAAACAATTTTTACATGAAACATATATTTACTGTCCATAACTAAAAGACGTTGATGATATAAAAGCAGATATTTTAAAATTCTATATGCTTATATCAATGTATATTAAACATTATTTTAAATAATTCGCAAAATATAATTTTTTTTACTTAAAATAAAGATGAACATAATAAATGTTTTGATATTTTAGATAAAGATAAAATAAAGTAATTACTTCGTCCAAATGATTATCTATCTATTTTTATCCGCAGACAGCAGAAAAAAACATTGGCTATCGATATGTAGGTGAGTGGTCGTCCAAATGATTATCTATCTATTTTTATCCGCAGACAGCAGAAAAAAACATTGGCTATCGATCAAAAGTTCTTACAACATGTAGGTGAGTGTAAAACATAATTGATCCGTAATTCTGTGTTTGTTTCAGTCTCGGGAGCACCGTAAGTCCCTCGATATCGACGATCAAGAGATCTTTATAAATTTCAAACCGGCACCGGTGTCGCCGGATGCGCGGGCGCTCCTCAGCCGAATCTCCGAGCCTACGCGTAGATTCCTACCCCTCCAGAAGACCTTCTCCGACGGCGAGATCCGTATCGAGAGACGCGAGCTGATCGGCGAGAGTAGCGAGCCGAGTTATCCTCACACCTGTAGGAGGAATCAGCAAGACTCTTGGGGCAGAGCTGTCAGAACGCCCGTCCAATTTTCCTCGACGCCCGAGGATCTGTCCTTGTTGCGAAGCCTTTCGCCCCAAGAGGATCATCATGAAGAGGTAAAAATAGAAAAATACCAGACTATTTTTTGTTAAAATAAAAAGAAAAAAATAGATTATGAAAGAGCATTTTTCAGGAATTCCACGAAAATCTGATACGTCGGGGTCTCTTCCGAAAGAGAAGCGTATCCCTCGAGGACGGCGTGCAAGGTCTATCGTCAGACGATTTTATGCTTCCTAGATCACTTCCTACTTCACCCACATCGCCAACCGCAGCAGCAGCAAGTGCGTCATGTAACACAATATCCTTCATTTTATTAGTTTCCATTATTGTTAGTGAGCTTATATACATAAAATAGAATTATCAGTGAAATTATTGAAACAGTATTTAAATTCTATTATTAGACTAAATACCAGATAATAAAATTTACACCGTAAAAAATTTTCTAAGAATTCATATACATTTTTGTCTGAATTTTCAGATCTGAGTGTTTGAAAGAAATTTTAGACAATTTACAATGTATTTCTTAATAATAATCTTAATACTACGAGATCGTTCACTGCAATGTAACAAATGGATATCCAGTTAACATCGCATCCATAAACATCGACGATACTCTTTTCAGCGCCACGTAGGATCTCGCAGACTCCGAAGGACGATTCGTTGCCGAGCTGCGCCTTATTGCACGCGGCAGTCTGTCCGGCTACCTTCAACACTGGAGTCAGCATCACCGGTACTGGCATCATCGGCCAGGCTGCCTCGCCGTTCGCGTCGAGCGATTCGCTGACCAACGACGTCACCAGGGACCACAGCGACGGGATATGGAATGAGTCGCAGGCGACTGTTCTCCAAGCCGACTCGTTAGCTCTATTAACGCCGTCCTCGAGAAGGAGGCATCTTCTGTTACTGCAACATCAGCAACGCTCCTCGATGGACACTGAGGCTCTCGATGTCGAAGACGAAGCGGAGCCTTGTCCGCCGAGTCCACGAATACGACTGGAACCGGCCACTCCGGTGCAACCTCTCACACCAAGGTAGATTACATCAAGTTGATCTGTTTTCAGAGAGTCTCTTACGGTTGACAGCATCAAAGTCACACGATGTGCGCAAAGGAATATGTCGAGAATTTCGTTTGAAAGATATTAAATGAGATTTTTCATATCGGCTTTGTCTTGTATATTGCTTTATTTATAGAAGACACTCTTTGCAGACGCCATTACAGAATACAAGATCTGTTACCGATACAGTTTCAACAAATTTACTACAATGATGTATCTACAACAGCACAATTTTATGCCTACGATATGTAAGACTATAACGTATTTTGATCCGATCTTATAGTAGTACCCCAAATTTTGAGTAACTTTTGATAAATCATTTTTGCAACACTTCTTGTCTTATCTCTAGATGTCTTCGGGAAAAAAAACAACCAACATTCTGTCAATTATATCGAAAATCTACAAATAGGCTGGAAATAATACACTTACATCCATATCTGCCTTCGTTTTTACAATCATCCCATGCTAAAAAATCGATATAATTGATAGAGTTAAATAAATAATTTGATAGATAGAAACGGCTTTTTACCCTAAAGAAATTTAGAATTCCTGATACGTTTCACAAAACTAAATTCCAACAATTAATACTCGAAGCCCTAAAAACAAAAAAAAAAACTATACATATTTTTTAATTTTTGATTGAAAGATTGATTTCTTTTTCTTTTTTATAAATTTATGAGGATTAAATATAGCATTTTGTTAATAATGTAATCCATATTATTTTTCATGTATTAGTCAATAAAAACTTAATATAATTCTCCATCAATATTAATAAAATAATATTAATAAGATATACATATTATTTAATAGATTAATTGCCAATTAAGTTAATTAGCCTTTTATCAAAGCGGTTCTTAATCACCACAACTCATTTCGAGACGTATCAGAAATCGATATTTTTTTCACATCCTTCCATGTATATAAATATTAAGATAAAACCATCTCTCTCTCTCCTTCTCTATTGAAATATTCTACGAGATATTTTATGTCAGGATAAAAAAATAGCATTACAAAGTATCTCGTAAAGTATTTGCTTTTTTTACAATTTGACATTACTAGTTTTATAAAATAATAAAAAAATATGCAAGAAATATGATTCTACTTAAATAAAAATGAGCGGAGACTTGCTTCTCTCTCTCTCTTTCTCTCCTATCTCGGATAGAAAACTTGGCAGCGAGATACCCTGCTTGTTTCATAAAGAACAACAACAAACCTTAAAACTCCAAAGAGAAAACTTATTCGCTATGTCTAATAGTTTTCGAGAAAAACATTGCTTGTAACATTTTACGTGGATATATATCCACCCTGTATATACGCCTATCCCCATACTTCTCTATTTGCTCCGATTTATATATAGTTTATATATTTTGCCAATCTTTTATTATTTCGCATTTGAAAAAACATATTGTATAGTTATAATCTCATCCCATAAAAATCTCCCTAATATTGTATACACTGGATATCATTAAAAGGGCCTTTTAGCAACGAAGAGCGATCAATCCTCTCGTTTCCTTCTCTAAGTAATGTCATTATTAATACTTCCTCAGTAATAAGTTATCAGTATTAATGTATATATAACATCTCTCCCCTTATATTAAAGTTGAAGTATTGCTTTTCTCTCTGGGCCTTCCTCTGTAGGATTTCTATAGGATCTTTGTATTAAAACCTCTACGTTCTTTTTCCAGTATCGAATCGTCTATTTCTGCAAATAACGGCCGGCCGAGGAGCGGATTGCGTCGCGCCAGTCCATGTCCGCCGTTGTCTCAGCCCCAGTCGCAGTCGTCGAGCGAGTTCGGTTTAAGCCTGGCGAGGACTGACTCGGGCGGCCGCACCAACACCGATCTCTCCGAGACCTCCGAGGATTATGTCACTGCCAATACTTCTACGGAAACCGGGACCACCACTGGCACAAGCGCCACGACCAGCTCCTGGTCAAGGCCGCCGCAGACGTCCAGCGCCGCGGCATCGGCGGCGTCGGCGCCGGCTTCGACCACCGCGACTGCCGCGGAAGGTAGCTCCTTTGAAAGCGCCAGCTCGATCTACAGCCTGGCGAGAAGCGAGGTAAGTTTGGATCCGTCATTTTTCGAACAATATCCGGATCCGTTATTCGGATATTAAGAATATATGTGTCATATATCAAATGTCAAATTATCGTTTAATTTTTTCTTAGAAATTGTACAGACGATCGATTTAATATCATGTAATCTTTATTTTATATTGTTAATCCTAATTTTAAGTTTATTTATTGCTCCCAAATTAAAATGGTTTAAAATTAATCTCACGACAGGATCTTATCGTGTTCGTAAAAAAAAATCTGTTTGATACATTTCGTCATCAGGCCGTTGTCGAAGAGCCGTGTAGTCCGCCGCCGATTTTAGAGGAAGCGGAAATCGCATTCGGATTAGAACTACCTCCGCCCTCGATGAGGTCCAGCAGCAGCAGCAGCTCGGGTAGCTACGATCTAAAGGACGCGATGACGGATCCGAATAATGATCTCGAGCAGGTTGCTTCACCCAGTGGGCATACCTCAGAGACTGAATTAGATCGAGATGTAAGTATACACGAGATCATATTGAAGAATTACAACTATCTTCTTTCAAATTTACAAAAAGTTCAAATGTCAAATAATGTCGTAGATCAAAATGAAAGAAGAGAGGACGTAAAAGAGAGAAATAAAAATCGCGATGAATTATTTCTTTCGAGATATTTACGGCCGAATAGACTTATTAAAAAATTATTTTTTAAGAAAAAAGTTTCTGTATTAATACGAAAGAATTTATATATCGTTTCGCGTCGATAGGAGGGTCACCGATCGTCGTCCGGAGGTTACGCCGAGTCGCCGCCTGACATCCGCATGTGGAGCGAGGAGGAGCGTCGCCGGAAAAAGAAGAACTTTAGCCTGGACTTCCTCGGGACTGCGTCGAGCAATGTCGAGCTAGAGCACGGCGCGGAGCCGGCGTATCCGGAGAACGTCGAGGTCAGCCCGACGCCGAGCCACCGTCACCGATCGCGAAGCAAGCCGACGTCGGCACGAAGTCCCCATCGTAATAACAGAAAGCGAGACGCGATGCAACAGTCGGCACAGCTGCAACAGCAGCAGCAGCAGCAACAGCAGCAGCAACAGCAGCAGCAGCAGCAGCAACAACAGGCGCTCAGCAGAAGTCCACAGAAGGAGGAATGGAGGGTCGAACAAGTCGAGGACGGTCCTCACGCGCCGACATCCGACGATTCCAGCTGCAGTCATCATTATCACATGCATCACCATCATCATCATCATATGCATCGGGACGGTGTGGAAGGTGGAAGGCATCGTCGGACCAGGGAAAGCCCGAGGAGAAAGACCAGCGGTTACCTCTCGACCAGAAGACGTAGCAATGAGGTAAATATCACGTCCGTTTTATTATCGAGTAAAAGAAAAAGAGAGAGAAAGAAGTTTACTGTGTGTATTTATGCTGTATATTTTACAATTCATCTATATCTCTTTATTTGATTTTGCTCACTTGTACAATGAATCAAAGATTTTCTAAAAAGATAAATCGAATAATGACAAAAACGTATCTCTCTGACATTTAATTATTTTATTAAAGGATTATAACCAGTCGAGCGAATAGAAAATAGGATATTTTTTAACATTTCGTAAAATTTTTAAATAATTAGACTAATAAGATATTTTTAGGCGGTTTTTTTTATAAATTTTTAATTAAATAATTTAATTTAATATTTTGTTTTCAACAATTAAATCAAATTTAAAATTTAATAAATTTAATTGTAGCAATAAAAATGTATATTTTTAATTAAAAAAAAGTATATGTTTATTTGTTTGAATGTAAAAATATTACACGATGTTAAAAAATATCTTAGTTTTCGACTTGCTAGACTGCCATAATTCTTTAATAAATTATTACGTACTAGTCTAAATTTTATTTATTTACCGCGAACGCGAAATCACGTTGCAGGATAAAAACGCGGCGTTAACGGGCAGCTTGCCGCGAAGAAAATCCCGCCTCGCGGACGATATAGTTTGCGCGAGTCGTCTGAGTCCCGGCCGTTATCAGCGAAGTCCGGGGCATAACGGTCATCGGGCGATCGTCATCGAGGCGCAGAGCCCGGAGGCGAGACTGAAGGCACTGTCCGCGGAATCGTTAAGATCCGTCAGCCCCGGCAGTGACAGCGTCTTTTACAGCGAGAGCGCCGATCAGCCCTGCATCTCGGCCGTCGCCGCTTTGGACGCCGCGCACTGTCATCATTGCGGCAGAGAGGTGATATATTACTTATCGATGCATCTTTCGTTCGTCTCCCCCGCACGCATTAACCCTTTGCTCTCGGCAGAATCTCTTTGCCGTTTTTTACTCGCAAATCCGCTTTAAAGAAAAAGAAAAGCATTTCTTTCACACAATTTATAATTGCGCTCTTGATCGACAACATCGAGCGACATTGATAATGCATTATAAGAATAATACTATATAGGGATTTAGCTGATGGCTTTGAGAGCAAAATTTGAGTGTAAAGGGTTAATAGGGTAATGACGTTTCTATCATATCCATTTACGATCTCATTCATTATTTTATAAAAGATTTTTTAAGTAATTCATTTTGTTTAAAAAGTAGAAGAATAGGCGTAGAATGCATCTTTAATTTTTCTGCAGCTTTATCGTAGTTTTAAATTAGACTTTATTGCGAGTCAAAGATTGCGAATTATACCTGTTTCTAACTCAAACTGCAACTTTCTAAAAATTAATGTAGTCAAAGAATTATTATTATTATTATCTTATTATGATTTTCTTAAGGTTTTGCTATTTAGAAAGAGTCGTAGAATTAATCCTCTGAATAGTTGCCTTTGTCCCCTTTCGTTTTAAAAATAGCATTCACTTTTTGTAGTTTGCTTTTCACTAGCATCAATTAGACAAGCCACTTGCTCTTACTTAATAATAAATTAATAAATCAACAAGCGTTATATAGACTACGTATATAGACAGTATATAGATTTACATTCTTAAGCGAAAATTAAATTTCGTTATTTATCAAATATATCTTTTCTGACAGTTTTTATATGCATTTTTGAAAAAAAAAGGAAAGTTACATTATAGATATAATGTTGAAACTATAATAATACAATATTTTTAAAACTTACCTATATAATTTCTTCAAACAATAAAAAAAATTTTTTGGCCATAATTGAAAAAAACATCAATTCATACATAATATACTATTTTTCTTCCGTTTCGAGTTTAATCCAATTAAACAAATAACATAACTATCTCAAAAATTAAGATAATCGAAAATATAAAAAAGATGCAGATATTGTTGGGAGCTGTAATTACACAGTAGTCGCATTGATTTTTCCATTGAATGAATGCCCACGAATGAATAACACGATATGTAATAGGAATGCAAAGGGTAGTAAATTCTTCTTTCGATCTATCTCGATCTGTCCATCTGTCTGCCTTCTTTCTCTATCGTGTATGCCCTCCTGTTGCTTCATCCCGAGGTGTCGGAAGAGATCGTTCGACCACCGGCAGGTTTCGCGGACTCTCCGGAAGGACATCGAACATCTTCCAAGCACGTTACAGGGCACCGGTTGTACAAGAAGTTTGACAAGAGGTACAGATCGGAGGATCGAGGAGACCGTAGACATCGCCGTGGCAGTGCCGGTAGATCGGACATACGAGCCAAATCGGAGGAGAGAGCCACCCCTCGATCAGGGAGCAGAGGTTCGATCGACGACACTGGTAGAAGAAGGCTGCAAGCTCGAAGTACCGATGTCAGTATGGAGATTCTCACGGGTAAATTTAATTTATGCAAATATTTAAATAATGGATACATGTAAATAATCGTGTTAAATTATAATAATAATTATTATTATTATAATAACAGCAATAGGCTCAGACTACAAACAATTAAGTGGGAAAATTGGCAGATAAGAGCCAAGGTGCGGGTATTGGTGCGCAAACTTATTATTGTTAAATTTGATTAATAAATGTGCATTAAAAATGTACGTTTCAGACCGTTTTTTACTCCATCTTTAGCATGGATATAAATATATAAAGATTAAATTGGAATTTTAAAACTTGACATTTGTTCTCTTTTACTGACAGGACGAGAAGACGAAGATACTTATGTGGAACCGTACACGAGCAGCGAATGGATTTATATCGGGGATCTCGAAGAGAGTCACGTGTGGAAAAGGCCCGACAGCAGAGACGGTGACGACGACATCACGGACAGTGTCCATAAAGAGAGACGGGACTCTCAAGAATCCACGGAGAGCGAGAAAAATTTTAAAAAGAGATATCAAGCGGCCACGCATAGAATGGTGCACCGAAAGAGCAGCGTTGAGATGTACAAGAGGATACAAACAAAGTGTTTTGGTGAGTCAAGCAGCGTTATTTTTATTTGACACACAATCAGTACATCTTATAAAAAAATTTAGCCGCTTTAAAATTTGATGCGAAATGTGATCATTACGAAATTTTCATGATCTTTATACGTTTTTTTCCCCAATTTTATGATTTTATTACTTGAAATATACAAAAACGCAAAATTTAGTTTGCAGAGAGAAACTAAAAAAAATCTTATAAAAAAGAATTCACACAAAAGTAAAATCTTTACTTTTGGAAATATTTACGGGAAATAATAATACAAGATAAAGATATTATCCGTGCGTTAAAAGGTTATAATTAAAAAAAATAGTTAAAATTCTAGTTGTAGTTTAAAATCCTATAAACTGCTTTCCGATTTTAATCTTATAAATGCAAGTCCATTAGCGCCCAATAGCATTATCGCGATCGTTGATCATAGTTTGAGCAATGCAGCTGTTCTATAAATGCTCATGTTTATGTAGAAGACTAAACCACATTCCAAAATTTCATTTCCACGTTATAAAATCATCCGGCATAAATGTCCGACGTGGCACAAACGAGCCGCTTTAATGTCGATTTGCGCATCGCCGAAGAATGTTCTTAAATCGTCTCACGAAGACATTCCCGCGTTGAATCTGCCGACAAGGGGGAGAGTTGAGTTCGCGAATAAACGAGGGCGAGATAAAGAGAGAAAGAGAAAGAGAAATGAAAGAGAAGATGCGGTGGTAAAAGAGAGTGTCTGGAATGCTGCGAAACAGCGCGAAGAGATAGATAAACAAATAGATCAGAAAGTCAGAGTGTTAAAATAAATACGATTTATTCCTGGTATGGATTTTTCTTGAGGAAATTCGGAGATTACATACAGAATAACATGCTTGAATGAAATATCTTGACGAAAATAAAGATTATAGCAATGTTTTATACACATTTGGAAATTTTATGTTTTCTTGTTAAAAAATATGCCGGTGTAAATTTTTGTGTTAAATATTTAACGCATTTATGTGTTAATTTAATATATTGCTGTTGTGTTAATTAAACTCAAATGTTAAATTATTAAAACAATTGAAAAAAGTAAAAATAACACAATGTGCACATAATTTTACACAATAGATACATTCCCTATTCTTAGGGATTTATCTGCTAAAATTTTCCAAAAAAAAAATGTTGATTTTATTCTATAATAAGAGTGAGAATGATTACAGACGTCAATAAAAAAGCTATAGTCGCCAACAGTAAACTGTGAATATTCAAGAAATCTAAATTACAAAGAGAGAGAGAGAGAGAGAGAGAGAGAGAGAAAAGGATTTAGAGAGCAGGAAAGAGAGAAAAAAGGGAATCAGGTCACGATGTAAGCTGGAAAAAATGCGGGTAAAGAGAGAGAGGGAGAGAGAGGCTGTTTCTTTCCGATTCTTTAAATAAGCACCGCGTAATACTCGGTCTAAATATAATCCATCCAAGAGGCAGAGACCGACGTCGAGGCGAGACGTCAAGTCCGACTCCGTACGAAAGCGGAGTAAGAAGAGCCGAGTGTCGGGGAAGAGAGCGGGACGATATCCGCGCGTGTAAAGCGCGACGGAAAGAGGAGAACACGATCGGGAGGGCACCGGGAATGAGGGGATCCGCGACGGCGGGTCGGTGCATGACTCGAAGGAGCTTTTGGCCAGCCCAGTCAGTGGGTCAGGGCGCCGAGGCGCATTCCACGCGGACTTCGAGGCGTCGTCGTCTTCGCCGATCCACCGTTTTCGCCGCGCCAAAACGAGTTGATCCTCCTCGACCGAGGATTGATTCTTCCGATATACCGGCGCGCGATACCGAAGAGAAGAAACTGGCAGAGTAACAAATTCGTTTCCTCGAATTTTTGCTTTCTTTTTGCCATTTTTTATCCAACGACCGACGATGGTGTGTAATTCCGCGAGTTCCGAGTGCGCGATGAAAGTGGATAGAGACGTGACGTTGAAGCAAGCTCTGGAAGAGCTGCTCAAATGCATGCTCAGGGTCTGGTGCAGGGAGAGTCAAGCTCTGGCGAAATTTGGCGCATCAACGACAGGTAACCAGGAGAACGGATCCCAAGTTAATATTTTTATTTTCGTTGACTGAAATTAAAATGTTTCGGAGAAAGAAGTAAAAATGAGACGATTGCATCAGTATTGATTATAATGAACGATATTAATATCGATAGAAGCTAATGGCTTTACATTTTTGAAATTGAAATCTTGCACAAATTATATTAAGATTAATTAGATGATTCTTATATGCTATTTAAAATATTAATTAATTATAATCTATAAAATATTTTGTTTATTCTAAGAAATGTTTTTATATAAAAAGCGATATATTTTTATGTGTAAAGATACATTTTAGGAGAGATATATACTTTCTTTGTATTATTTTGAAAGTTGACTTTGTGATCTCACGATCCTTAATTACGATATCGCGAGGCTCACTCTAGAGACAGTTGTTATCGCTTATAGAAGTTACGGGGATAATGTCATTTTGTATTCATGGGGTTTGATTTCTATTCATGAAACATCGCACGGCGCCAAATTAACGACGACATAAATAACCGTAGCGAAGACACGAGTCTATATCTTGACAAGAAGATATTGGAAGATGTAGTATACACCATTGACGAGACAATCGAATGTTGGCCAAGAATCGTTAAGATGTAGTCTGAATATCTTAATGAGAGTATACACCTGCCGTCATCAAACTCGCGTATCTCCACGTATATCATCTCACGTAATTGCAGCGGAATATATAAGAGAACCTACATATATCTCATTGATGAAACGTGACGTTATTGATATTTATGACATTATTGGTACTGCGATGTTTCTTTTTTTATCGTGTTTAAATGGATCAGAGAACCCATGGATGACACACGTACGGTGAACCTGGATTATACACAGGATGTACTACACATAGACACACACGCACACTCTCGGTTCTACTGTATCTATGTATATTCACAGAACCAACAATGTGCTTATAATACCGTATACGATGAACTTCGCGTGCACGATAAAGTCGCGCTCTTTTTCCAACGTCTTTCACGTTCATGATCAAAGCGAGGATTAAAACGGACGAGCCGTCAGTGGCGCAAAAATAAAAGTGGCCGATGACGGTGACGGAGTATGTCACCTCTGTCACTTAACGAAGGGAAAGGTCTGGGCTCGAAATGTGCTCGATTACGTTTGTAGCGCAAACGCAGGCCGCAAACCTTTTTGCGTGTGAAACGTCGCGCGCGCGCGCCATCGTCGATCCATTTTTTCTCTTCCTCCTCCTCTTCTTCTTCTTCTTCTTCTTCTGTGTATAATAATATATTTATGAATAATTTTAAAAAATATTTCTTTAAATTATTTATATTGAATATAAAATATTTTAAATTATTTGGCATAAATAAATATATATGTATTTAAAGTAAAAGTCTTTAAAAAGAATGCTTATAATCTTTTACAATTTTAAAGGTCAATTCGCCCAATAATTAACATATACTGTCAAAATCTCTAAAAAAATCATTTGTGAACTTATCTTATAATATGTCCGCGTATAGAGAGCGACAAGAGGGTAATCGTGAAACGCGAGGCTGGCGGCGAGTTCGGATTCCGCATTCACGGCTCGAAACCCGTAGTGGTTTCCGCGATCGAGCCGGATACGCCGGCGGAGAGTTCCGGCCTCGAGGTCGGCGACATCATCATGTCGGTGAACGGCAGAAGCGTCATGGACGCCACACACTCGGAGGTCGTAAGGCTCGCGCACTCCGGCACAGACGTCCTGGAGCTGGAAGTGGCGAGGACCTGCAACGTGCTGGCGCCGCGTATCACGCGCACGGGAGCGAAGGAGGGCGTCGACGAGGCGCCGCTCTGCTCGGGATACTTGTGGAGGAAGTCCACGTCGTCCAGCACGGAGAAGTGGGTTCGCAGATGGTTCGCTCTTCGTCGTGACAACTGTCTGTATTGCTACAAGACTGACTCGGTGAGTTACATCTGGCTACGATAATAAGATTTATAAAAAAATAAAGAATCTGTGTGTGTCTCTCTCTTTTTCCCTTCTTCCTAAAAAAAAATATTTTTTTTTTTTTCTTTTATTATATAAAAAGAGAATTTTTTAAATGTATATATGTATATGTTTTATACTTAAAAATAAAGAAAAATAAAGAGAAATTATAATGTGACTTGGAAAATTTGAAATAAAAATTCAGGACTGTTTGTGCGATTTGAGCTCTATTTGAAATACATATACTTATCGCAACACACAGGATTCGCAACCGGTGGGGGCGGTGATGCTCCTCAAGTACGACGTGGAGCAGACGCCCGAATTGAGAGTGCACAGTTTCGCGATAAAGAAACAAGGCGCACCGACGTTACGACTTGCAGCCGATACCGAAGAGGCGGCAGCTCGATGGACCATAGTTATACGCGAAGCAGTCGAGAGGAACAATCAGGTACGCAAAATGAATTGCTCTACACGAATTTAGAATATATATGAGCGTAAATGAATTTATTTGAATATTCTTTTATATATGTCAAGTCGTTTCTTTCATAGACTCTGTTTTTTCGATCGAAATTCTGATAGTTTATATTATATAAAATATTACGACTCAATAATTCCCCTAAGATTGACACTTGGCTGGACTCCTCGCTAAGAATGAGAGAGATGGCCGCGTGCGCTATCGCGAGGCCGGACTGTTTCGGATATCTGAGCAAACAGCAGGAACACGCGCGAAAAACGTCCTCGCCCACCGGCTGGTCCAGACGATATTGCGTGTTGAAGGACGCCGCGTTGTATTTCTACGATGACGCCAACGCGGAGAAAGCGTTCGGCGTGGCGTGTCTGCACGGTTTCAGGGTACACGGCAGCGCGCCCAGCTCCGGCGGCCGGAAGCACGCTTTCGAGCTGCAGCCACCGGATCCCACGCAGAGAAGTTACATCTTCGCCACGGAATCGGAAATGGATAAGAAACGGTGAATATGAAAAATTTATGTTCTCTTGTTAAAAAGAATGACCGGTTAAAGTTCTTCTTCTTCTTCTTCTTCTTCTTCTTCTTCTTCTTCTTCTTCTTCTTCTTCCGCCTCGGACGATCTAGAGCGGCCCGCTTGTGCTCGCAATCGTTGTGGCACATAATCGGTGCCGCAACTATTCTCGTGTGGTGGTCGCTCGATACCGCACGTGGCCTGGCCGTAAAACGCGCGAGGCTTAACAATTTACCACCTCGCATATACGATTCTCTTTTTGCTCGCGTATAACGCAAATGCTTCTCGTCTAAATATAATCCATACAGCGGGACGGATTTGCATATTAAATGCTCGTAAGGGAGAATTATAAAGCGCATTAAATACCTTTTACTTCAATCATGAAAATATTTTTATTATAAGCATATATTTATAAATAATATATTAATTATATTAATTATAATTGTGTTTATATAATCTATGTAAATTTTATAATATTTTTTCTTTCCTTCGTTTTTTTTTTTTTTTTTGTTATGAATAATCTCTCGCTATTATTTCAGATGGTTGGCTGCCCTTGAGTATTCGATTGATCGATGGATAAAGATAGGTTGATGCGAAAGAATCCGCCCTACGACGAATCCAACGAGTCGCAGTAGCGAACATCGTCCAAGGAAATCCTCGTCCGTATCCGTTTCCGGTTCCTAATATGTCGCGAATCAGCCGCGACGATCGCCGTTGGTTCCCTCGACGATCATTACATATATACATACGTACACAAATACACACATACACGCATACACATGGCTTGGATGTTTCGCCAAGATTTTCATTTCAACATTATTGAATTTCATCGTATCACGATCATCATTGTAACTGCTGATTAACAGTGACGTTTACGTGAAGTTGTTCGAATAAAAGTCAACGCTGAAAAACAACTCGGCAAACCTGTGTCCCATTTTCTGCGCGATCAGTCTCGTCGCTGTCGTCGTTGCTTGTCATCGGAATTGTTTATCAGCAGTAATGCAATTCCATTAAGACCAGAGACTAAAATCGATGACTATAATCCTGCAGAGCGAGTTTGATTTTCGATGCTACAGAGATAGAAAAATATAGCTAGAGAGAGAGAGAGAGAGTGATTGCATTTTCTTCGTCGCGAGTAAACGTAAACAAACGCATTTACACGGCTCTGCACCATCAAGTTCCAAGCTCGTCGAGAAGTTATATTTGATCTCGATTTTCAGGATTAGACTTTTTTTTAGAACTCATCCTGCTACGCGTCAAGCTCTCCCATTTAATCCCGCATCCTGTCCACATCATACATCTCATCGTTGAATATAGCGCTTCGCTGAATTTGGGTCAAAACGCGTAGTTGTAAAGAAAAGAAAAAGAAATTATGGATACTATAAAAAAACAAATCTCTCGAGAGTTTTATAATAACGAGAGCCATTCGCGACGGGTTCCTCTCTGATACGTCTGCGAAAACGAGAACCCTTCAAGGTTGTGTTCGTCGCTGAAACTTTATACGCACATAAAAAAAATTCTATAGCTGAGAGGAGTGAATATAAAAAAAACTTTTTAAGAACGAAACACAAAACGCAAATCTCGAACGTTTAATAATTATATAACAACGTGACTCGGTAGGGAAAAGTAGAGTACGCTTCGCGAGCCGCGACACGCGTACGTGCATGCGTAGCGATAGTTATGCGTACACGGTATACACGTGCATGTTATGGAATTGCCATTAATTATAATATGTATCGTTATTCTTACCAACAACGCCAATACTTGTCAACAATCGAAAAAAGAAAAAAGAAAACACTCCGCGGGAGGAGAAGAAAGATCCAATCTAATAAAAATTGGAGACAAACGAAATAATGGCGTGTGCGGGTGTGTCTAGAGATATTATTGCGTGCGAATTCGTACATTTATCCACGTGCGATGGAAATAAAAGTCGAACATGTTGCGCATCGCTGTCAGAAAGTCGCGCGAAAGGGAGGAAGCGCGATAGAAGATCAGCGTATATACATTTTAACAAGAAGATAACCCTACACTGGCACATCAGGTTCAGATCCTGTCCGCTCCTACCGGTGTATACAGAGTGTTCCAGAATTACCGATACATATTTTACAGATAGTCAAAACCGAATTTTTAACAACAAACATACAATGAATCCATTTTTTAACATACCTTGTAATAATACATATATGTACATGTATACAACTTTTATTTTTGAATTTATTCTAATTTTACTTTGAAAAAAGATTTTATACAAAAATTTAGAGAGCAAAATTTTTAATGCCGGTTTTATTTCATGTTACAAAAATTCAGAAGTGTGGAAGGTTCACGATTCTTTTAAAAGAAAAATCAAGTCACAAATGATCCAAGCAAGTCGTTAAAATATGTACCGATGGTTCAGAGAGAGAAACACTCTATAACATTTTTTAAAGATCTTTTCATTTTTAAAAACTTCTTTCAGATTATATATATGTATATATAATAGTACATAAAATTATTAAACTTATTTCTTCTTTTAGACACGGTTTTATTAGCCTTATATTGCGTTTTATTTATGTTGCTCGATAAAGAGAACGAACTAACGTAAAATGACAGCGGTATGATGATGCAGGATTTTCGAAGAGAGTGTCAATCCTATATTCTACGGAAAGTGAATGACAGATAAAGGGTTAAGGGAACGAGACGAGACGCGCGTTATGACGCCGAATTTAATAGCGTTCCTTCGATGAACGCGACCGTCGCAAACATGAAAAGAGAAAAATGAGAAGATGTAGGCGCAAAGAATAAGGCATGTACCAACGATATCGTCGCTACAAAGTGCACACATTCATGTTCTGTTAGGATTTATCGGGGAACGATACGTTTGAAAACAAAAATTATGTAAATCGAAAAGAGCCTGATCAACCGCTCAAAATTTCCAATAATAAAATAGAAAGTTTAGTATAATTTTCTCCTATGAATATACATGTCATTTACCCATATTTTTAAAAATCATATAACAATATCAAAAATTAGATTATAGTTTTGATATTTTACATTAATTAGGCATTATTCTTATTTAATCATAAATATCTTATTAATCATCGCAACAGATTGACACAAGTTTATTTTGAAAGTCCTAATAATGTACTTTAATTGCAAATTCCTTCAATACGTCACACATACCGCATATCTATAACGTTATAAAATACATTAAAATAGCTGCAATTTTTTTTGCAACTTTAATCAACGTTTCTCAAAATTGTGACGTGACGTGGAGCATTTTGGAATCATATTCGGCATCGAAAGAGCTCCGAGAAATGATTATTCTCCTTCCCGCGTTTTTTTTTAATCGTTCAACTGCATTATTAATCAAAGTATGTGGCGGACAAGAACAAAACGGACAGCGGCTAGTTTCTGTTTTCGTATCGAGCTCTCTTCGTAGCGAGAATCATCGCCGGGAATGATGATTAAGACTCGACGCGGTGGCAATCGAAGGGCACGATCGATCGCGATGCACGATCCGCTGTACGGCGTTAACCGAACGAATAGCTGAAAAGCCACAGGAAGATCTCAATTACGATGATCGCAATGAAATATCGCGAAAGAGAGAGAGAGAGAGAGAGAGAGAGAGAGAGAAAGAGAAGGGGGAGACTTTTTCAGAGCGGAGCGAGACGCGCGCAAGATAAATTTGGGGGAGCCCCTTGTGCTTCGGGGCGGGCGCGCTGCTCGCTTCGTCCGCGGCTGCGGGTATCCGTTTGATAGCAGATAGGATAGGTATGCGGTCCGGTCCGCGTGTTGTTCCTCCGTAGTACCCCCGGTACTCGGAGGCCTGCGCGCCGTTGCATCTCTCGCTTCTCTCCCGCATCCCCCCGTTGCACTTACTTACTCCTTCTTTCTCCCTCTCTCCTTTTTGTCTTCGGCTTTCTTCTCTTCGTTCGGCCATGTGCCGCGGCTCTCTACAGCGGAATTTCCACGAGGTTTCTTCCGCGACAAATGTAATAATGCGATAAAGAGAGAAATCACGTCAAGAGTACAACGCGGATAATTACCCCGAGAATACCTTGTATTATACCGGAGAGAGCTCGCGCACACGCATACCTTTCCTCGCTCAAAATTCCATGGTGATTCGACAGATTCGGTGGAATCCTCAGTTAAACGCTCGCCATCTCCCTCTTTCTCTCTCGGAACCGCTTCCACTTTCTCGTTCTGTCTCCCGGCCCGATGGTGATCTTCATGATGTTGCTGCGAGCATCGCGCTGTCGTTGACGATGTAGTGGTGGTAGTGATGGGGGAGATGGTGGCGGCGGCGGTAAGATTGTGAGCCTGGTAGTGATGTGGAATGAATCGGTGAGGTAAGAGGAGAGGGAACTAGTTCAGTGAACAAAACGACGTGAGAGGCAGTTGCACGCTGTAACAACGCTTCGGCGCTTGCACTCGCGCCACGGGAGAAGAGAGCTGTAACCCTGATATTCCGTAGCCGCGACATACGTATAAAGAGCTGTTTTAATTTTATATTAGGCTGCCGGATAACCTTCTCTTTCTCTTTCTCTCTCTCTCTCTCTCTCTCTTTCTCTGTCTCAACGGCGAAGTTTAACGGGTTGCGGTGAAGGAACTCTCGCGACACGCATCGGACATCGCGATCATCAGCTTTGGCTTTACGCTCGCAATCATGTTACAAACGTTGAAGACGTCTATATACCATATGCGTATTATGTTTTTGTATGACATAGCGCATTGCATTTTCTCCTCGAGTCATATATTATAGTTTATAGGGAATAAATAATGGCAGAATTTAAGAGTAATGTCGTAGAAATGGTCATCTTTTGATCTACAAAAGCGTTAATTTTTTTTTTCATTTTTGATAATTTTATGAATTTATACAGATTATAGAGTTATATTTATAGTCCATTAGTCTATATATTAAAGTTAAAGAAGATAAATTTATTATATTAAAGCAAAAAAAAATTGCTTTTTATAAGACATCTTAAAATTAAAAATGTCACGATATTACTTTGTATATTGAATCATTATTATAGATATTATTAAAATTAATTAGGTTTTATGGTTAGAATATTACAATTACAAACTTATCTTTTTTACAACTCGTTTAAAAATCACCACTAGCCTTTATACATGCATATATACATATATATAATTAACATTTGACAAATTTCTACAGAGTATAAATAACATTCCACATGTAAAATATTATCATAGAACAAGAATTTAAATTTACATAGTATACATAAGTTATTAACAAACTAGTTATTCTAAATCTAAATTTTAAATAAGGAAGCAACATTGTTGAGCAACTAACGATAAGTTACAAATTTAAAAACGGAATTACACTGACGATGTGACAAATTGTATGATCTAATCTCAAGGTTTGATCTTTGTCCCCTAAATTTCAGTCATTGAGACTTCTGGAATTTAATACTCAATGAGCAAAACACTTTTGTTTCACGCCGATATCTTAACTGGCCGACTACAATCCGCTAATTAGCATATGTGGTCGCTAATAAAGTCGTGAAAGAGAAAGAGAGAGAGAAAGCTATCAATCGGCGCCCAAAACAATGGCGGGATGCCATTCACACGTTGCATTCCGCTACAAAAGGCTAATGCTATGTAAATATAGAGTCTCGCCCATTCAAGCGTGATTTTTTCTCACGCGAGTGGACAGTCAAGATGGCCTTGTACTTGGCATCCCGACCTTTTAGGAAAAGAGATGATGTACGTCATCGCGTACCGTTACGCGCGATGCCGGCCGATTCGTCAACGTTCCACGGTCTCTTTGTCCCCTTTCAGGTACGTTCTACCGGAGCAAAACAAGTCGCGAAATGAATTCACAAAATGAAGATCGTTTGAAGATTGTCCGACAACGATGAGAGAGAAAGAGAGAAAAGGCTGGCATTTTTAGCGTCAACTATGTCTCGACTCTCGCGAGAAGAGAGCAGCTAAATCGGCTTTGAATAGCCGATATACCGGCGCGCGTATATAGAGAGAAATACGTGCTCTATCAATTTCCATACGTGCTCGTTTTACGAGAGGTTACTACGCCGATTGAATTTTACGACGTCGCGTCCTGGTAGCTTAAATCCAGTCCTTCCCCCGCCCTCAAATGTGAGTTTCTGCTAAATAGATTTGAATTTCGAGAGACACGCAGATTATAATATATATAGTATAATAAAGTAATATAACATTTTTTTTTTTTTTTTTTTGAAAATGCGGATGTTTTAATAATAAAATACGCATGCCAATAAGAAAAAAAAGAATCGAAAGAACTCTGATGCCGTTCACTGGTCTTTACGTGACACGGATATCACGCTTGCAAAATCGTGCTGGGTAATACTTTCGTTCGCTGCGGCCTTTTATCCTCAACGTTGCACACGTGTTTAGTTTAGACTTGTGGTATGCGACTTTGCGTTCGCCAATGGAAATTTTTATACAATTTCGATACAGTGTATGAAGGAATTTCAAAGCAATATATAATTGCTACAGTTATCGAAATACAAGAGAAAAGAATAAACCTTGTGTAAATTCTACTCTTATTATTTCAATTAATAACATTCTTTCAATTTAAATATTTAATTCTTATAAAATGTAATACTAAGAAAAAATAAATTTATGATTTGTTTGATGCATGTATTCATAGTAAAATGAAGACAATATTAAATTCTGTATAATATTATTTTGCATATTTTAAAAGCAAATTTTACTCTTTTTATTATGATGCATTACTGTATCATTAATGTATCCGAAAGAATAAGAGACTGCAAGAAAACATTTTTAATCGATCACTTGTCGATCAGGGAACCTTACTCGAGAAATTCGATCTGATATCCATGCCACGACGGATCTATCGGTAGATCAAAATTTGTTTCTTGAATTTGCTTGCGAACGCGACTTTGCCAGAAAATTAACGTTAAAATTTTATCTCACGTGTAAAATTCATTTTCAAAATCTGAAATCTGTGTTAGAAACATTCGACAAAAAGATGGCATCAAACATTTAGAACGGGCTGTATCGTTTGACAAAAACAAAATAGCCGCACTGAACTAAATCGAAAGCCAATCACTGTAAGTGGCCGCTGCGTCTCTCTCTCTCTCTTCTCTTTCTCTATATCTAAACTCCATTACTCAATGCATATAAAAATGGCCAGTTAAACGGCGGAAAAGGGCCATTGAGCTCGCGTATCGGCGACTCATCCAAGGCGGACAATCGCGCCGCTTATTCTATCCAACTGGAGCAAATTCCGGAATCCGTGAACTAGAACCACGCTCGCTCCGACGAGACGTACGTAAGGTTGAATCGATTTGCCGGTGTAAAACCGGCTGGGCGTCGGCGGCTGCTGCCAGTAGAAAGAGAGAGAGCGAGAGAGAGAGAGAAAGAGAGACCGAAAGGGAGAAAAAAAAAGGGAAACGCGCCGAAGGACAGCGGGAACGGGACGGGAAGCGGGAGATGAACGGTGCGCCGAGGGTACGGCGGGGATATCGAAGGGATGAAGAAGGTGGAAGCGGGACGGAACGCGACCGAGTGGAAAAGATCGAGAGAGATAGGGAGAAGGTAGAGAGAGAAAGAGAGAACGAGAGAGCGAGAAAGAGAGAGAAAGAGAGAGAGAGAGAGACGAGGACCGAGACTCGATCTCTCCGATTGCCTCTGGCTGGCGGCGAAGTGGACGGACCGCGCTCCCCTCTTTCCGCCCACCAACAACCGATCTCCTTCGTCAGTGCCGTCGTGGCGCGGGTTTCCTACAGGTGCATTTACAACCTGCCTCACTTTTTTTCATCCGTCTACCTGACAGAAGCGTGGTGACGGAAGCGCGTCACGGCGTCGTGCTGGTCCCGCGTGCGAAATCTGCTACCTGATAATCGGGGATGAATTCGAGCCGGCGAATTAGATTCGGAGTTTATACGCGTGAAACATAAATGTTTACTGGACGTAGATAGAGTGCTCGCAGATGCGACGCATTTCTCCCTCGCTTCGTCCAACTACCGGAACTATCATATCTCGAATGCGAATCGGTACATCGTTAGGCACGGGCGAGCATTGAATATGTAAGGTGAGGAAATTCCATACGGTAGCGGCGGCACCAGACCACAGATCCGTAAAAAGAAAGAGACAGAGAGAGAGAGAGAGAGAGAGAGAGAGAGAGAGAGAGGAGGAAGGAGAAGGAGGGTGCCCGGATTCACATTTACGCACCTGCTCCTCATACCACGTCCCTACTCTAAACCTCCTGCGTTCAACCTGCCTGCCTCGCTTCATAGTCTCACTGGGTAGATAGGAATACCGGCAAAGCTCCGCGCGCGCCCTCAGCCTCAGTCCGCCCTCGCCGCTCGCGCTCACGGCTCACGGACCTGACGGCTGGCTGTCCCGCTCTGACAGCCGCATGCCGGCCGGAATCCACCTCCGTCGCGCCAAAGGCAGAGAGCTCTAGAGAGCGAGGCAGTGTTGCGGCCGCAGCATCCAGCGGCTACTAGCGCTACTAGCGGCAGCCAAACGGAAAGACTCCCAGGCGAGTCGCGTATACGTGCACGTGTATGAGTCGTGCGTGAGCCTCACCTGCGTGGGTGTGCGAAGCCGCGGCGAAGCCTACCTGGCGGCGTCCGACACCGTGAAAGAACGATCCTTCCTCCCGGTGACACGGCCACCTTACTTTTGGAGAACCGAAATCTTGGCTACCGAGGTGATCCGAGCCCGGGATTGAAAGTGCGACGAGGGAATACGTTGCTCGAGCCGCGACTCGAGCGATCTGTGCATGTGTGTTTACGCGACAAAGATAAAGAGTGGATACGCGAGGTGATCGCTTCGAGTTGTTATCGGAGTTTCGGAGATACAACGGATGCTTCCGTCGGACTTTCAGTAGCCAATAAGGGATTTCAGACGGAAGAGATGCGTCGGTGGTTCGCCGGAGGAGACTGAAAGGGAGACCTGCACGGCTTTCCCATCAACATTCTCCAGGTGAGAGAGCGAGAGAAAGAGAGAGAGACTGGGAGACGGAATTCATCCGAGGAGTTTCCGAAGGAAACGAGCGGAATCATCCGAGCCTCGTTGCGTCCCTACATTCGCGATTCCAACATGGCTGCTGGGACTAGCCGTGACCGCTGGGTCCGCGGAAGCCATGTTGGCAGGTGTGCTCGGCTCGGAGAGATAACCAGTTCACGTTCGTAAAACGCACCCGATACGCGAGACATTGTCGAGTCGTAGATGACTGGAACGAGCGCGTTACGATTGAATTATCATTTAGATTCCCTCCCCCTTCTTCGAACAGCGTAATCTGTAAAAACAATATACGCGTGATTCTACGAGTAAATCGGATATACGCAATGTGATTGATAGAAAATCTCCTTGTGAATGCATTGTCCATACATATTTCCTACATGATTGCGAAAGTTTGCGGTGAGCGAGCTGGTACGCAGTGGTTCTCTATCAGTTCAATATTTCGTAAAATTTAAACTGCTTTTTCATCAATTACATGAGAATATCTGTTTTCCTTCTTCTTTTTTTTTTCAAGTAGATTTGAAAGAAAACAAAAGCCGTACGTGTTGAGAGAAAATTATTTATTTGCTCCAAATATTTATATAAATGCCAAGTTTTTCCCAAAAATTATCTATACTTTATAACTATATTGAGCCATATTGAATCTGCTATTCTAAATTTTGTAATCTTAATCTCAAATTCGTGGCACTAAAAAAAAAAATCTATAATTATTAAACTGTACGTGATTCGAGAAAATTCGAAAAAATTCTTCTTCGCGTAATAGAGAGCCGCAAAATATTATACACGTAATATTTCGAAATCAGTATCATATTTTGCGACGAGTTATCTATCAAATACATACATTGTTTATTAAAGCAAGGTTATTATGATTTTATGAAAAAAAAAACTGCGATCTTTGAAAGGTTAAATAGCACTTTTAAATAAGCGCATTTTTCGATTCATTGATTGTACACAATATATTTTTTACGTACTTAGTCTTTATTTTTTTATATGAATTAAAATTCGGTATGAATGAGTATATTATATTATATGTATACAGTATTGTGTGTGCATATAAGATTTATGTGAAGAATATATATAACAACTCAAGACACTGTCAAAACAGACGCAGTTCAGAGTTTGAAAAATATTTTCCATATATTGGACGTGTATGAACGTTCTCGATTTTTATTTAAATTTTATATACTAAAGAGACTTTTATGTTATAAAAAAATAAATGTGTGTGTGAAAAACTAAGCGTTTTTTAAAAACTTTCTTAATTTTATTTTTTAAACCATAAATAAAAAATTATATCTATCTTTACATATTTCTTAAATAATTATTTCTTTTAAACGTAAAACTTTTTTATATATAATAAATATTAGAGATAGGCAAGTATTACATTTATTTGGTATATATATATTGTATATATATATATTTTTTTTAATGTCTATTAATTTAAATAAAAATGTTATTAATTCTACCGATCTTGTTTTTATTTTTTCATTAAATTAACGCATATTCGTCTTTCAGCAATCGATATGCCGACCGACATCGTAGTTACGTCGGCCTCGGCCACGGTTTCAGAGGAGACGAGCAGAGGTCGGGACCTGGGCCTCGGACCGTCACCAAGGTCAGGTCCCTCTTCGACGTCCTCGTCGTCCTCCAGTTCCGGCGCGGCGTCGACCTCGAGGGGGTTCGATCCTGCTAGCACACTCGCTGCCTATCATCATCATCGTCACAGCTTGGTGAGCAGTCTGGGCCATGCGCACCGAGAGTCGTCGGCCTTCGTACCTGTGGTGCCTTCAAGATTACATCTTACACCGTACCCAGGTGAAATGCATCCCCATCTATCCGGTCCGCCGCCTACGTCCTCGTCGTCGACGAATTCGGAACACGAAGTCGGTCCCGAGTCGTCGGTGGCCAGGAAAAGCTCCTCGAGTTACGAGATCATGGCCATGATGGCCGATAAGAGGAAGGAACTGGCAGCTAGGGCTCTCCTGTTACCACCGCCCCCTCTCCTGGAACCCCCTCCCGGTTATCCGGTCTTTGCCGGTCCTTTTCCTGGCAGTTCCGCTCTGTATCCTCCGGGTGGTCCATTAGCTCATCAGCATCTCGACCGGAGGCTACTCAGAGCACCCGGTAGAGCATCCAGGCCGAAGAAGCAATTTATTTGTAAATTCTGTAATCGACAGTTCACAAAATCGTACAATCTTCTCATTCACGAGAGAACTCATACCGACGAGAGGCCGTACTCCTGCGACATTTGCGGCAAAGCATTTAGGAGGCAGGATCATCTTAGAGATCACAGGTATACGATGCACGTTTCTTTTTTTTTTGTTACATTAATCCAAGACAATTTATTATTGTATAAATTAAAGTGTGGGGAAATTATGTGTAAATTTTATTGTATATTTATATTGACAATTTTTTTATCCGTAATATTAAGAGTATCTGAGATTAAGGATTAAAAGGATACAAAAATAATAAGAATAAAAAATCTATTATCTTTATAAATTTTTAAAATATAAAGTTTTAAAAACTGTATCATCTCCTGATCTCTTTCGCTCTCAGGTATATCCACAGTAAGGAGAAACCCTTCAAATGCAACGAATGCGGCAAGGGCTTCTGCCAGAGTCGTACTTTAGCGGTTCACAAGATCCTGCACATGGAGGAATCTCCGCACAAGTGTCCAGTCTGCGCGCGCAGTTTCAACCAGCGCAGCAACCTCAAGACGCATCTTCTAACACACACGGATCACAAGCCTTACGAGTGTACGTCGTGCGGCAAGGTATTTCGCAGGAATTGCGACCTTCGGAGACACGCACTAACGCACGCCGTCGGCGATGTACCACCTGAGGCGCTAGAGGAAGCGTTGAGAGATGACGACAGTCCCGAGGAGGATTGCCCGGAGCCAGGACCCTCGTCGTCCTCATCTTCTTCAACGACACCGTCTGCACCACCCGCGGCGTCGTCCGGCTCGTCCGGATATCCCTCTCAAGGACCAGCGGCACCGTCAACCGCATCGGCAACATCAGCGGCCGCGCCGTCTCTACCGCAGAGACCCCAGCTTCAGATAAGAAGAGACCTGCTACCGATGACGAAGCCATCGACGGTGACCAGCGGCACGTCCGCCGCGCATTCCGTCACCCAGAATCCACCGGCCGCTCTCCCACCGCCACCGCCGCTCGTCCTGACTTCCTACCGACGAAGAATCAGCTCTCCAGGTCCCTCCAGAGTGCTGCTGGAACTCCAGGAGCGCGAGCGCGAGAGAGAACGCGCGGAGATAGAACAGAGTAGGGAGAGAGAACGCAACAGGGAACGCGACAAGGAAGTGGCCAGACCGCCCAGGGCACCGACACCGCAGCCACCACTGCCACCGCCGAGACCGGCACCGGCTCGCCAGGGCTTCACTATCGCGGACATAATGGGCCGATAGAGAATGCGCGTTTGTCGTCGCAGGTAGTTCTTTTCTTTTTTGTTGTTGTATCGTTCGCAGATCGAGATTTCGTGGACACTGTAAGGATTATGTGCGAAGCATAGGAGATCTTTACAAAGAATGAGATCTCCCTGTGGACATTTTGCGAGTCGTACGGTCCGATTCTTGGAAGAGACGTAAAAAAAATACAACATAGAGGTAATACTCTTGTCAAAACTGCCGGAAAGTCTGCGCGTTGTTTACGTACTTTACTGCCGGATATTTTTTTTCCATGCGAGAGATGGCGAGAAAACTTAAGCACTCGAGAGTGACGAGGTGATGTTTCTCAAAAGTATCATCAAAATTCTTTTTCAAAGAATCTGCGTGCGCGATTCTGATTTATTGAATTCGAAATATTTGATCTTCCTCTTATTCCAAGTATAGTCACGTGATTATGTATTATGTATATTGGACATTCTTTATATCCAATATATATATACACATATATAAACACTCTAGAGGAGTTTTATATATCGTCACACGATTTGCTAACATCGAGAAATAGTTTCTCAGGAATAAAACTATTAAGCGAATGCGTACCAAAAAAATGTGCCTTAATCAAGATTGCCACCGGTATAAAGATTTCGGAGATCGCCGTCCAAAAAAAAAAAAAAAAAAAAAAAAAAAAAGAAATAAGCGCGAATACAGGGACTACTACTAAAATGGATAACGCTTCTAAACTTTATAAGCGCGCGCGTAAGGAAAGAAAAAAAATGGACGAATAAATGGTGCCTTAGAGCGGTCCATAGAGATTTTCTCCTTCGTCCCGGGGTGACGGTGGACCAAAACCGGAAAGGTGGCATCGCTCTGGCTTTAATACAAGTCCATTCGCTCGCTTCTCGAGCTTCACTCGAGAGTTCTTCCCGCGATTGCCTTGTAATAGGAAAAAGAGTAGTCCACAGGGATAAGATTATACGGAACTCTCTCTCCGCGTGAAGCACTCTTTCGTCCTGCACTCGGTTGAGTCCACGGGAGGAGGGGG